CCCTGAGGTCGTGTCGGCAAATATGTTTGTGTCATATGGTTGTGTGACAGATGGTGAACTTGTTTATTTTTATGACAATGAACGTGCAGTGTATGTGTGTGAATTGATGATGTTATGGTATGTGATGTGAATGATGATGATATGTGAGACAATAAACTTGTGATGTCCTGATATGTACTCCCTCTGTTCCATAATAATTATCATGATTTTAGTTCAAACTAAAACCATTACTATTATGGAGTGGAGGGAGTATATATGAATTGCTACATCTTTGAATTGTAAGGCTTTTGGGGAACAAAGTGTAAAAAAAGTACAACTGAGAAGCTTTGCTGAGTGCACTCGACAAAGGCCCTGTTTGGATACTATAACTCTGTTAGAGATTAGAGTTAGATTCTAACCCTGAACTAACTTTATTTAAAGAGGTGTTTGGATGACAGACTTAGATGGAGCGCGGATACGGCGAGGCTCCTTCATGGACGGTGCGAGAGAGAGGGAGGGAGAGGACGAGAAGATTCGAGGAAATGGTGAGGGATCTGTTGCGGCGAGAGCAAGAGAAAAAAATGTTTTTTAGTGGTTCCAAGAAGAACTAACCCAAATAAGCACCTCTTGGGTGGGGTTAGATTTTTTGAATGAGTTAGATGCATCTAACCCAAACTAACCCTCCTGTTTGAATATTTTTGGGTTAGTTGAGTCCAATCTAACCCAAACTAACTTTAACCTATGGATCCAAACAGGGCCAAAGGCAATATATGCCGTCACGAAGCCCTAAGCTGGGTGGGTCCTGTTTTTCATGTCTTTGCCAAATATTGCCCTGCACTCGGCAAAGAGCAACCATTACCAAGTTATATCTCTTTGCCAAGTTTTTTTCCCACACTCATGAAAGATACCGCTTTTCCAGGTTCCACGTCATTACCGAATTTTTTTAACCTTGCACTTGGCTTTACGTTGGTTTACCGAGTTCCTGATAAAAGAAACTCGACAGATTGTTGTGCATTAGGCAAACTTCTTGATTTCAGTAGTGGATACAAAAGAAACTTGAAAAAAAGTAAGTCCTGATTTCAGTTGTTGAAAAAGGCTCGGCCTCGTGTCCCCCACCCCCAACTCCCCCCCACTCCTCAGGGGACGACTCGAGAGCCCCAACCCTAGCCACCGGACTCCGATCCTCTTCCAGCCCCCTCACCGCCATCGCCGGGTAAAGCCCGCGTGGTGTTGGCGGCGACGGGATCCCCCTTTTGCCTTCTCCCAGAGCGAATGTTGCGGTGGTCCTTCTCTGCTCGGCTGGTGTTGTTTCCCAGTGGCCGGCGCGTCAGGCACGGTGGCACGTGTGGCCTGGAGGCGGAGCGGGCGACACAGCTAGCTGGTGGTGGCGCGTCGCAGTGGAACGCGCAGGGCGATGGCGGCTTGGTGATCCTCGTCGTGGCAGAGTTCCTGACTAGCCAGATCTGCGCTGGCCGAAGGTGAGGGCTGGTGGCTGACGCATGGTAGGTGTGTTGGTGCTACGGCGGGCCTGGCAGGTTCCAGCAGAGGAGTTGTGGCACACTCTAGTGGCACTGGCGCCTGCTGGAGGCGGTGGCGCGTTCCCACGGGCAGGTTGGTGACGGCACTGCATTGGCTCGGTCAAGATGGAGTCTTGTGAACATTGAGCGGCTGGTCACCCCTGTGCGGCGTGGCGAGCGGTGGTGCTCTTCTGGTGGTCCCTGCCTGGGTCTTTTCATGGGGAGGCAGTTCTGATCGTCGCAAGGCCATCCCTTGGAGTGGGTGACGACCGTTGCAGGCGGTCCTGGAGCTGGCCAAAGGTGCTGGTTTGCTGCGGCCCCTCGTGCAAACTAGGAGTTGGTGGTGTGGCCGCGGTTTCCCTGCCGGGCGGTCTGTCATTGGTCCTCGGTTTTAGAGCTATGTCGGCAAGTGTTGCGATGGCGGCGGTGTGAGGCTTCTTGGACAGTGCAACCAATTCCATGGAGGGGTGGAGATGGGCAACGCGGGGATGAAAATCTCGCTCAGCTTCTGCGGGGATGATGGTGACGGCACCCGTGGATGCCATTCCCCTCCTTGGAGGCGTCACCGAGCGTGTTCGCCATCTCCCTCGCTCTCATGGAGTTGGTGGATATCACCGGGCGCAAGCCTCGATTCGGTGTTTGGATCGTCACGATGGTGTCGTTCTCAACGTCGCTCCTCTGTTGGGAGCATTATGTTTGGATACACGATTGACTTCTCATTGCTCTCCTCCAGTGGTCGCCGTGACATCTTTTATCCTCCGTGAGTCCTTTTTTATCCTCCGCGGCGCTATGTACGCCCCTCGTCGGTGTCTCCAAGATGGTGTCTTCCGGATTGAATTGAGTCCTGCCATTCAACTGCAACTTTCTCTCAGACGCTCATGATGAATGGTGCGTCAACAAGCGAAGTTCTGCGGAAGTTGGGGTCTTAAGAGGTGCCCGACATCGGCCGTGACGCGGTGCTATGTATTAGCTTAGGATAGGCTCTTTTGCGTTGTAGTCCCTCCGTTCCTAAATATAAGCCTTTTATAGATTTTAATATAGACTATATACCGAGAAAAATGAGTGAATCTATGCTCTAAAATATATTTGTATACATCCGTATATAGTTCTTATTGAAATCTCTAGAGAGACTTATATTTAGAAACAGAGGAAGTAGCTTGCTTTGCAGTGGTGTTTGTCTTCCGTCTTGCTGGTATGGTGTTCATGCTACGCTTGTTATTCGCATCGAGTGATAGCTTTCTTATAATCAAATTTCTAGTTATGTTACATCTAGTCATACTCTCGAGAGAAAAAAATTGATGAGTGCCTGCCTCTAAGGTAGAATTATACGCTTAAAACAAATCCCAATCAGTTAAGTTACATTTCCTGTAAGTATAATTGTAAGCATGCAATTGAACTTGAAATAACTGAGTAGTTCGGACATCCTATGGCTGAAAAAGTTATAGTATAAACTAGCACAAATAATGAACTCTTTCAATCAATTTGTTGCCTTTGCTTTTGGAAGGTCCAATCCATGTGTGATACTCATGCGAGGGGAGGCTTCAGTTCTTGCGCGCATTTGCCTCCTTCTCCGGCGTCAGAAGTCGCGCACCGGCCTCGGCATTCCCCTTCCTCTCGGCCTCCTTTGCCTTGAGCGCCTGCAACTTGGCGTGGTTGTAGTAGGCGACGCCAAGGAAGGCAATGGCGTAGCCGGCGAGGTTCACTGGTGTCACGGTGTCCTGGATGACCGACCATGAGAAGGCGATGAGCAGCCAGTCCTTGACCACCCCTGCCACGTTCATGGTCAGCGCCGACGTCTTCCCCACCAGCAGGAACACCGCCAGGTTCAGCGCGAAGGCGCACAGCGAATTGGTCCCGAAAACGACCACGTCTGGCCGGACGATCCCGGCCGCGGACGCCGCCTGCAGCCTCGGCAGCTCGACGAACGTCCACGGCACGGTGAGGAAGAGCAGGCAGCAGGGGGCGATGTAGTAGAGCGAGGTGATGGGGTTGAGCTTGATGCCCCTGGAGGTGAGCAGTATCTGGATGAGCACGAGGCGCGTGGCCTCGGCGGCGACGGCGGCGAGCTGGAGCGTGACGCCGAAGACGTCGAAGCGCGCCTCCCCGAAGGCCGCGACGGCGACCCCCGCGGAGATGCCGAGCATGTTGAGCATGGAGGCCCTGCGGAAGGTCTCGGTTCGGAAGGCGATGGCGAGGGAGTAGACGGCGACGGGCATGAGCGCCTTGAGCATCTGGATGAAGGAGACGGAGAGGTAGATGTAGGCGGAGTTGGAGAACCAGAGGGAGAGCGCGTAGAGCGCGCCGATGGGGACGACGGTGGCGACGTAGAGCGAGGGCGTCATGGGCGGGTCGGCGGGGAGGTCGACGAGGCGGAAGACGCGGACGAGCGCGGCGGCGAGGGAGGCGCAGAAGGCCATGTGGATCATGGTGAGCGAGATGGGGAAGGGCCAGTCGTACATCTTGGGGTCGAGGATGTACTTGTTGTACACGATCACCGTGAAGCTGAGGCTGATCCACACGGCCACGTACGCGTAGGACAGCAGCACGGACCTCAGCACCGAGGTCGGCTGCGCCACGACCGCCGTCGAGGACTCGACGTCCATGGCGGCCGCGGGGGGCTTGGTGCTGCCATCGCCGCCGGCGACGCCCATTGGGGCGAGGGGGGTGGAAGCGCGCGGTGGTTGCTAGTGGTGGCGAATCTCCCCGGCCGCGCGGTGAGCCTCGGTATGGTGTTGACTAGAGACGCGCGGTTCGACGTTTATTTAACAACATTGGCACAGGTTTCGGTAGCTTGCCGAATCATGGAACCTTTACGTGCGGTGCGTCTCACTTGTAGAATTATCAATCTGTAGAAGGTTAAGGAGGGGTGGTGGTAGCAATTGCAATTGAAAATACCAAGGTCAGCTCTCTGAACGTACTAGGATCCAAGGAAGTACAGTAGAAATGTGGAGTCAAATGCACACTTGCACTACTAGTGTGTGCATACACTCGCAGATCTCGATAAGAAAATCGCTTTACACGCTTGATGCCCGGTGCCCCGGACGATCGCGTTGGCTCGATCAAAGCCATTCGATGAGAACGTTCTCAGTCAACGCTCGCTGGATGGACTGGAGCGTAGGCCTCTTTCCCTGGCCGAGTTTCGGCTTCTTCTTGTTGCTCCATCCTCACCATGCAGCAGTGCGTGCGAGCTGCGCCGGCATATTTGCACCGACTTTGCCTTTTTCCTTTCTTCGCTTTTTATGATTTTCTTATTTTTCTTTAGGTGTTTAATTTTTTTTATATTTTGCTTCCTTTTAGAAGCACAAGTTTTTGTATACATGATAACTTTCGCCTCCTTTCGTTGGGAATGGGAGGTAGCGCATCCCAACACCATCCATCAAAATGGACACCCGAATGCGGTGCCAGCATCTAAGCCTATATATTAAATATCTGTTTTTTTAGAAATAGTATAAAACAACATCAAATATACGCCATGCAGCCTCACTTCGAGTCATTTGTTCGTTAGCAATTCAAGCATACATGTAAATAAAAGTGTTGGATGTTCAACAAGTTTTTAAAATTGGTCGGTCCCAAATTCAACCATACTTCTCGAAACTTCAAAAGTGGCCTTTATTTGAAAATATTTCTCCTCGAGCTTGACCTTTTTCATCGCCCCATGTTCTCCAAAGTAGGATGCCCCTTGAGTTTCAACCAACGATGTATCAATTTGAAGGGCTTGCGCTCCATCCTGGAGTACATCGTGGCAGCGGGTCTGGGATATAGAATGATGTGATCAATCAAGTTGCAATATTGAGTGAATCAATGAATTGACCGACAAGAAGCAAAACTTATGATCTCCATGATTAGCGCATCCGTTGGCATCAGTCTTTCTCTTGTGCAATCATAGTGCAATACTTCATGACGATAATTAAAATGATGTAACACCGATGGAGTAGCGACTTCCCATTGCGATTATGGATCACATCCCAATTGGAGGGCTCGTAGTAATGAAACCAAGAATGCACATGCTGCCAAAATATCGTGCACTTTTGCTTCATACCGACAAACGCCGCACTTGTGGCCAACTATGTGTCGCACAACAATGCCTCCCTCGCAGAGTACCTCGCCAGCATGCTTACTTCGGGCCTGTTTTGAAGTCTCTCGATCCACGCTTCACAAACTTCTTGTGCGGAGCCGAGCCGAAGTGGGGGAAAGGGCTATGCACTACAAAAAATACACTTCCGTGGTGATACGTGTTTGTCAGAGTAGGTCGCGTTTTTTGTCATGCATGTACATCCATGATGATTTTATGACAGAATCAAGATAGTCATACATGTGCTGTCGTAGAAGTGTTCCATGACATTACCAAAATTATCATCACGGAAGTGTCCACTTCCATGACAATAAATCGCGCGTCACAGAAGTGCTTTCGTTAAGGGTGACCGACACGTGGCATCCATCGTGACGGAACGCCATTAAGCTATCGGGTTGGGTTTTGGATCCGATAACTCGTTAACAGCCCCGACCAATGGGAAATTTCCACGTGTAAAATTCTTATTGGCCGGACGAAACACGTGTCAGCTCGTCAGTGGGTCAGATAGGCGCCTATGATATGTCGACACGTGCCACGGCCCATCACTGGCCCATTTAGCTTACAAAGCCGGCCCGTTTGACTTGGTCAAAAGTTAACGGGTTGGCCCATGAAAAGCCTGTTAACGGTCTCTTCGCAAATAGCCCATTTTACGGCCCGTTAGGCCCTAAAGGAAATCGGCCCAACAACGTCATGTGGGCCGTCGAATATAACACCAGCCCATTTCACTTTCGGCCCATGTATGGCCCACGACGTCTTTCGGCCCATATGAGGCCTTCGTATCTTTCGGCCCTTTACACGCCCACGGTGACTCTAGCCCATAATGAACAATAATTTTCTTTATACCCGTTAACGGCCCGTGATTTACATGGACCGTTTCCAGCCCGTGTTAGCTTTCGGTCTATTGACGGCCCATACGTTCTTGGGCTCCTTTTCAGCCCTCAATTACTTCTGGCCCATTACTGGCCTGTTCCCCTAATGGGCCAAATTTGGCCCATGGCAAGAGTCGGCCCGTTACTGGCCTGTTCCCCTAATGGGCCAAATTCGGCCCATGGCAAGAGTCGGTCCGTTACTGGCCTGTTACCCTAATGGGCCAAATTCGGCCCATGGCAAGAGTCGGACCGTTTCTGGCTTGTTAACCCGTTGCGCCATTTTCAGCCCGTCCTATATTCCGGCCCATTAACGACCCGTTATGCCTGTGACAGAATTAAGCCTTTGTTGTCCTACGGCCTGTTAACGGCCTGTTACCGTGTTGGGCCGATACCAATTACGCCCGATTATGGCCCATGTATACCCATTTATCCGACGACCCGAGGCCCACCGATTACAGGCCCATTTATCGACGGCCCGTAGGAGACCCATGGATCCTACGGCCCGTATATGGCCCATGGTAGTTGTGGCCACTAGCAAACCAGGGAAAAAGAAGACTAGAAAATAAATAAGGCCGAAACTAACGCTAGGCTATTAAGGCGATTGCACAGATTACATCCATTCGGCATCAAAGATCGCCACCAGTGCAAATATAGGGAACACCCTACACTATACAAAAATGGCTTGTTGTTTTCTTCAGCCGGTGGCTGCACGTTAAGAATAAATTTTGTATCGCACCAAAACAAATTACAACTATATAACAAAAGGAAGGTTGGCATAAAACTTAACAGTCTAGCAGATAAATGCACCACCAGAAGTTCTGAAGCTCAGTTCATTTGACCTGACTGTTACGTTTTCATGCTGTATTGTCCGATGGAGCACCATAACCCTCGCCTTCATTTCCCCTAGGCTCCTGAACAACATAGCAAATGTCTGATAGTCTGGTTTCAAAACCATGCATATCTTGACGACATTGAGCAATGTTTCTCCTTGTTTCACAAAGGGTCTCTGTTAGGGAATGGACTTGTGTCTGGAGCGCAGATACAACATTGCTTTGAGATTGCATTTCTTGATCATGAGGCAGTTTGGACGATATTGCCTTAACAACCAACCCAGTATTACGCAGGAACGTGCTTTTGGCACTGTTAGTGGACAGGTACCGACCCACTACATCAAGAGCTGCCATTGCGGTTATAGTTCCCTCGCCACCTTCAGAAGGTGGCGGTTCCACCATTTTTTCCATAGCTCGCTGAAAAGTTGAGGTTTTACATTAGTAGTACCAGAACGTAAGATATTAAGGAGGCAGCAAAACCAAACAAAATAGCTTTGGTCTATATACAGAACTTATTCTGGTAAACCCATGTAAAATATTAGTTGTATTTTATTGCAAAGTACATAATAAAACCAGGTTCCAAACATATGACCATGTACCATCGCTAATGTATTGTCTATTTCTTCACATTGTATTAAGGGCTAAGGATAAAGAGACGAAGTTTATAATACGATAAGCATAGTAGGACATCATTCATATCACAAAACAACTGAGAACAGACAAACAGGCAATTGTAACATTGTGTGGGCAAGTCCAGCACGGAACTAGATTACGGGTCAAGATCAAAGGAACATCACTCCTCTCTTTTAAACCTTGTAAGGTGCAATGATACGCTAAGACAATTGTGTATAAAATTGAAAAGAGTAATAGACATTGGCTACAAACCATGCAGTTCAAGGCATGAGTCAGAGTAAGTAGTAGTTAAAAGGCATGAGGATTAAGGACTTACAACAGCGGCTTTGACTGGTGTAGTCATGCCCTTCTTCTTGCTGGTGTGACAGTCCTTGAAGATTTTCACAGCATTTGGTTCAGGTACTTTTTGGTCCTTGCGGGCTTTCCTCTGCATTTCAAACAAGTCAATATAGATATGATAATATGGTATAGCGAAAAGAGTGAAACAGCAGCTAATTACAAGAGCCTCGCAGTGTGCAATATAGCTACGAGATCCTGTCGTCTGTTGGAATTTCACTTTCGTACGGTTGGCCTTATTCTTTGAATGGTTCACCTACAAGAAGATAGATTTGTGTGGCACATGCGTAAATAGGACTTCAACATGTGATCTGATCACATATATATAATGTACCTGATACTTCAAATCAGACCAGTGTTTAACAAGGCCCCTCCAGTCTTCATTCGATATATTTTCCACTGGAGATGTTTCGGAAAGTTCACTGTTAGCCTTGCCTTCAAAGTGAGTTTTCCTCAAGTTATACCGATACTGTCGCAGAGCAGACTTGAAAACATGGGTGCAAGTTTGTCTGGTTGCATCACCTTGGCTATCCAACTTGAACCTCATCTATTGAAAATTATGGGAGTCTCATTATCAGCAACCTAGAAAGTATGGGATAGAGCAAGACAATATTATTATTTCCATACATAATCGTACTTACAGATAAATGGTCGAGGAAGGTGTTGAACTGGGTTTCGTTGTTGTCATTCCTATACTGAATCCATGTTGGGAGGATACGTACATGACACCTAACGGCAACCACTGCCTCTGATACTAACTTGGTTTTCTCTGTAGCATCACGTGGCCTTTTTAAACCTGCCTCAAAACGGATCTCCATTCTTCCTCCTCTAGATTTAGTGAATCTATCGAGCATTATCCCTGATGTTTGTTTCCTCTTGCGCCTAGGTGCTAGTCCAACAACGAACATAGG